AAGCGATCGCACTAATCCGGTGCGGGGTCTGCTTCCCCGCCAAGCGCGAGAATCAATCCAGATGCCCGACGAGCCGGACGTCCCTGCCAGTCAATGCCAACATCCTCCTGGTGGGAACAAAAACAAAAAGACACCCAGCTTTGGGGGAGTCACACTCTTGGTGCCCTTTTTAGTTGACCTAATAAAGCAATCCCCCCACCCCGCCCCCAGAAGGGATTTGGGATTTCTTTTATTGCCAACATGTCTAGCTCTTGCTTTCTTCTTCTTCTTCTTCTTCTTCTTCTTCTTCTTCTTCTTCTTCTTCTTCTTCTTCTAAATGTCCCTCTCTTTAGTTAAACGATCTAGAAAAGAGGGCTGGCCGGACGAGTATCGCATGCTGACCTGTTTTCGGAATAAGTTCTGGTGAATTGAACCAAATTGGCCGTCGGAAACCGGCTTTCTAGGAAGTAAGCCTCGCAGAACCGAACGAGGTGTACGGAAGACTAAAGCTACCGAACGGCACTTCCTTCTTTTGGGAAAATGACTTTAAAAAGAGGAAGGTTCATCTCTGAGCAAAGGTGCACGAGATCGTACTGAACCATTGCAGTCGGAGGCACTGACTAAGCAAACCGCGTGCACCGGATCCGGCTGCGTCACCACAACCTTTCAAAGGGCCCTTTGATTGGTGGAACCGATTTGGGGGCAATTTCCGAAGGTGTTGCTTCTGAAAATGTAGGAATGAAGCATTTATAATATCTAACATTATAGCACATTGTCTATTACAACAGGTCAAGTTGGCCTGTTGAAAACCGCAAACGAATGGGGTTATTCAGCTTTTTAGAATCGGGGGTGGGTTGGTCTGGATTACAACCCAGGAGGCCCAGTGAATAGATCAGACTTACTCTGATCTTTTGGAACAATATGGGTTCTTTGATCTGCTCTATCTAGATCCTCTAAAACATGTAATTTGCACGACTATGTAAAAATATCCACTGCCTTCAGCAGTGCTAATCGCACATAAATAAGGGTTCTTTGGCTTCTGAATGTGTGAAATTCAATATGCATAATAGATGTGTGTGTTTGTGTGTGTCTGTCTGTTTGCTACTATGGGAATGCAACACACACACACAAACACAAAACAGATTCCTCTAATCAGGAACATTTAATGGTTAAACCACAATATTCCTTGCCCCCCCCCCAATGTCTTTTAAGAAGTATAGTACACATGAAAACCTTCTGAAAAGCACCAATATCTTTCAGCTTGCAAATGAGTTTTAAAACAAACTTGTTCTGGCATTACACCTTTCACAAATTATAATCCACAGCTAAATCCCACTGATGGCAGCATGATTGAAGTCCAAGCCATTTGAGGACTAGGGAGAAACTAGCAGTTTTACTGTAGCTCCTTATTCAAGGCTCGTTTCTCAGTTGTTTACCTGGATAAAGGAGAAATGGTGTTCTGGGAAGGAATCATTGCATGTAAACTTTTTACTTCTTGTCTCCCCCTTCTCTGCACATTTGATTATCTGTTTTTCCAGTTAAGAAGTATTAAGCTTGAAGACTAATGTGACTACACACACACACACACACACACTCATTGGGCACTGGATGCCTTTACCTAAAACCCCTGCAGACACAAGAACTGTGGCTGCTTAGTGACAAAATGCCAGAACGAGTGCCTTCCTCTGATGGCTTTAGTTGCAAGAAAATGTGCCTAGGCCTAAAGCCAGTCTGCACATGTTTCCAGAAAGCCTTCCATTGTTTTTACTCCGTTTAGTCAAATACTAGGTCTATGCATGCGTTACACAAGATTCAGGTCTTCTAAACACTGGTAGCTTCCAATTCAGTTTAAATCTCAGTACATTGGCGGTGGAGGAATACATCATAAAATGCAACAGAGACACGGCCCTTAGGTATCGAGTTAGCATTTAGCCAAATCAAAACGCAGCATTTTATTTTGTTAATTGCATAGATCAGTAACACAACAGCAAAGCATACTCTAGAAACTCTAAAAGGATCCTCTGTCATTTCCCAAAATACAGCTATTTTCCCTCTACCAGGTGTGTCCAACAACTACACATATTTCAAAACATTCCTATGCTGTAGATTAGTGCATTTTGTTTCTTTGTTTTTAAAAAAAGTACCTAAGGCCATAGTGTTAAGAATGTAAACAAAGCAGCTAAATAAGAGGGGACACGATTCCTTAAAATGAAATCCAAGGATTGTTATGGGAGAGGAAGGGATAAATAGGATTCTGGTCTTCGTTGCTTACCATTTAATGTGTAGCAAAGCTGTTATTGCAAACAGCCTGTCCAACAGGGCAGAGCCTAGAGGTGGAAAATACAGGTGGCACATCAGGCCATTGACTGATCGACAGGACCATCCATCTAGAGGTTCTTCTGCCCAGGCTCATTTAACAGAAGTGCCAGGAGAAGAAGGATCTTTCAGTGATTTATTTCCTGCAGGTGAAAGATGCTTGTGTCCCAACTGAATGACATCCTGATGAAATAACCTCTGTGAAGGAATCATTCCTACTCGCCCTGCAATCTATGGTATCAAGCAGGTTCCACACAACTGTAGTGTGCCTTGGTCTCAAGGGGATCTAAAAGAAGGATAATAAATTGGGGTGCTCCTGATGTTGGTTTTCCACCCCCATTAGTCCTAGCTGACATATCCAAAGGGAGTCACAGTCAGGCATCTACAAAGCCACAAGCAGCCCAACTCCTAGTCTAAAGTGTTTACATGGGCTGCAACATTTCTTTCTAGTTTAGGATTTTTCAAGAGGAGGAGAATGGGGAGGGATCGAGAAAAAGACAGAATGAAGGGAGAGAACCTGAAGAAAAGTAAGTGAGGGTGTGAGAGGTCGGCGGTTGAAAGGCACATCTATAACCGTTCTAAAATGACTTTTGTTGCATGCTGGGCACAAGACAGAAAACAATAGAAATCACCATCCTATCAGAAGGTGAAATGTCTAGGCACTCAAGAAAGATTGTCTGTGGGTAATACTTCAAACAAAAGTTGTTCCATTATTACTTCAAACTTCTGTCCCTTCTCTGCTGTAAATCAGATTGTTCACACTGAAGGTACTCAGGACTGGAGTGCTGAGCCAGCTCGACTGCCCACCACCACCAGTGTAGTAATTCATCCTGGAGCTGGATTGAGTACTGAGTTCGAATCCCAGGGTTGGATTGCTGCTGGAGCCAGTGCAAGAGGAACTTAATCCAGGCCCATGCTGTCTCCCAGGTGTAAATTCACAGCCTTGCCCACCTGTGAGCTGCCTGGGGAAGCCATTCCGGCTTTGGGCCACAGCATTCATGGTGGAGACAAAGGTGGAGAAACAGTGGTTAGAGTTCAGGCTGGTTGGTTTGCAGTCATTCCCTGACCCAGCCGAGCACCGCAGCTGACCAGAGCCCAAATTGTGAGGGTCAGGGCTTTGTTGGACAATGCAACTGTTACTTTTGTCCTCTGCTTTGTTAGGCACTCCAGGCCCATGAGCTGTGTCAGATCGTCGTTTCCTCTTTCTTCTGAAGTTGCCGTTATCAAACATCTTCTCACAGTTGGGATCCAGGGTCCAATAATTGCCTTTGCCTATGAACCAACCAAGAACATAACGGGCTTAGCAGGAGCAAGCAGAGAACATGCTGACATTATGCTGTCTGTTGAAAATGCTTGAGCACAAATAGGGCAAGCAATAAGCAGATGGCATCAGGTTAGTGAAAATCCACTTTCTTCTATGATTCTCAAGTAAATCAGAGACTAGTTTTGGTAAAAGATATATCTCTCTCCCCCCAACCCATGGTTTCAGTCTATGGGTTGGAGCCTCATAGACTGAAACCAAACCATACCATCATCTGGGGAGGGGGGGACTTTATTTCCAAGTAAATATGTTTAGTAGGTGAATATGGTGATCTCAAGATAGATCCTATTGTTAAACATCTCTCATTCCAATTTAATCTGACTGGTCTGGTCTTTTTCCTGTCTGAAGGATTCAGGGTGAATTGTAAACCTTGATACTGGCAGGGGATTTAGGATGAATTTGCAAAAACAGAATCTATTTTGCACTAGATTTTTGTATCTGGTCAAGCATTTGGACTTAGTCCTATTGGTTTTAATCAGGACTTCCTTCACAGTGACAGATCTAGAACAGAGATCAGACCATATATTTGCCAATAAACACCTCTGGAGTTATATACCCTGTTTTCCCAAAAATAAGACCTAACGTGAAATTAAGCCCTAGTATGATTTTTCAGAATGCTCCTAATATAAACACTACCCCCAAAAACAAACCCCAGTAAAGTGAAACCCCGCCCTCCGCCCTTGTGCAGCAACCAGAAGAAGATGACATGACTGTATTTGAATCAGTGTAGGTTGTTGTACATGAAAAAAAATCCCCTGAAAATAAGTTCTAATGCATTTTTGGAGCAAAAATTAATATAAGATCCTGTCTCATTTTTGGGGAAACGCGGTAGTATTGAGACATACCTAACACTAAGGCCTATGTGATATTGATAATAATTAGTCAAAGCAAGTCATCACCCATGAATCAATTCCAAATCTGTTATGTTCATACTAAGATATCTCTATTGGTCCAACAAAACCAACAGCCGTGTGTGAAAAGCTTTCCTGATGCTTTCACATCAGAGGCAGGAGCCGTCAGTCGCCCACCGTTTTCATCAGCCTACAGCTGAAATTTCCCAGTCCCTCCTTGATACCTAGTTGCAATCCTGACAATCACCTAGTACTACTATCCTCATATTGCCGACCTCATGGCTGACCTAAGGCCACTGACGGAGCTGTGCTGGGGGAAGATTCTAATTGGGGACTTCCAGCTGTGACTCCCAGCCACTGTACCATCTATAGCAGCTCCGGTTCATTGCTGAGAGAACTGTCTGAAATATTTCCAATAATAATCATGCACTATCAAGTCAATTGCAATTTATGGTGACCTTTTTCAGGGTTTTCTAGGTAGACGGTACTCAGAAGTTGTTTACCCTTCCCTTCTTCTGGGGGTGCCCTGGGACTGGGCGGCTTGCCCAAGGCTGCACAGGCTGGCTCTACTCGCAGGAGGCACAATGGGGAATCGAACTCCCAACCTCTGGGTTTTCAGCCAGATATCTAAACCAGCGGTCCCCTACCTTTTTGGGACCGCAGATTGGCTGAGCCTCTGACGAAGGTGGGGCAGCCCCACACACTCATGCAGGCGTGCTTGGGTGCACATGCTCCTGGGCGCATGTGCAAAGCAGTGGGGGAATGCACATGCACCCACCAGTGCTGGCGTGAGCACTCTCTCACTCCTTCGCACATGCGCAAGAGCACCTGCATGCCCCTGTGCATGCCTGCCCGCCCCTCCCTTGTGGGGAGGGGAGTGCGTGCGGGAGCATCCTGGGAGGTCTGACTCCACGGCCCGGTCTGGCTCAGGCCATGGACCGTCACCAGGCTGTGGACCGGGGGTTGACAACCTCTGATCTAAACCACTGAGTGTATAATTCACACATCACACAAGTGTCAAAAGATAACATTCACCTGCTTTTAGAAAATCCATCTTAGATATAGAGTTCCTGGGAAGCCCAGAACTTTGAAAGGTTACATTTTTGGTCTTCACCTTTCAGAGCCCCCCATCCAGAATGAGTCCAAGCAATGCTGAAGGTGGAGGGTGGGGTAGTCTAGCAGCTGCAGTTCAAAAAAATTATCATCTTTTACATTTTTAGATGAGAAAATGACACAGATATAGTGAAGGAGAAATTAGATTAAAGGATGGTTTTATACTTGACACTGGCATCAATCCTGTGTACAGTTCCCTGAGAATCAGAGCACCACTGAACACAATTGGGGCTTCCTTCTGAGTAAACAGCCATAGGACTGTGCCATAAACTGCTTGTTACTTTCCTTGTGCCTGGGGTATAAAGGGAAAAGTTACATTGGCTTTGGTACAGTTTTGACACAAAATGTATTTATGATATAAATGTTTGTTTATGAAAACATTTCCCCATTTGATATATCTAAGAGCATCAAATTTTTAGCAATCCAGGGTTCGAGTCTCTGTTTAGGCAAAAGTGACTTTTAAAGGTTTTTGTATGCATAAACACATATTTAAGGGAAGGGCCAAGGGTGGTAATATAGCTGACGATCTGTATCCCATAGACAAGGATGTGTTTGGCCCTTTCCATATGGCCTTCCTCTACTTTTTGGACCACAGAAACAACATTCCCACAAAGATACAAGTGGTGAGGGAAAACTGCAAATGTATTGCTAGGATTACCCTAATTTTTGAAAGATACTGACTTTTATTCTGCTTTACAAAATAAACTGGATATGGTGTCATTTTTAGCAGTCTTCATACTCTCTGTAAGGGAATAAGGGGCAATCCTTATTTTTTTTTCTCTCAGCTAATGGGAAATGATCGTAGAAGCTTGCTTTTCAGTCAAATACAAAAACATTCTTTAGAATGGAAATTAGAACAGGTTACTATGCTTTGAAAAGGGTGGTGGTGGACAGCAGGCTTGGCCGACACTCAAGTCTTAACCTTGACACTGCAATACAGTTTTGTTCCACTATGTTCACTGCTCAGCAGGGATGTTGCCATTGCTTTTGATGGGAACTGGAGAACGCACAACCCCTGCCCTCAAACAAGAGTTACCTTATTTCATGCAAAAGCACGAAGCAAAAATCCAGAGGGCCATTTATGCACACAACGTCGTGTGATTTCTGTTGTGTATTGTCTGGCTTGGTTCACTTGATCCTTACATGGCCATGTACCATTGTTCTCTCTCTATTTAATCAAAAAACGGGTCCCAATGTGTCTAACAGGGGTTCCTCCTCAATGCATTTGTTCAGAACTGTAGCCATATAAATTTTTCAGTGGTGGAATTTGGGGGTGCATGTTTCCAGTTCACTAAAAGTTGAAGTGTGAATAAAATAGCCCTTCATTCTAATTCTTTGCACATTACCTATTTTCTGTGCGAACTCAGAAGGAAACCTAGGCCCCCTTTAACAGGACACGGTTGGGCATAGGGGTTCAAAGAACATTAAAAGCACACCCCCTATTTCAGTATCCTTTTATCAAGAAGTGCTGCAAAGCAACTAAAATTGTTGGGTGTTCTAACAGAATTTTAAACAAGGATGGTCTTGGAGGGGCAAAGGAATAGGATGATGTTGGTTGAACAAATCTGTCTAAAAGGTAAGTTCTTACTAGAACAGATGTGCTTAAAACTGAGGGTCCAGCCAGCAGGTCGACTGGCCAATTCACCTACACAAGAGGAGACTTTCTTTGCCACCTTTATTAATGCAGAATTCCACATGGAAAGATGGCATGGACCTTTAAATGATCTTCCTTGCAAGATGATGGATGTTATCCACTGGATATTCTTAAAAATACGTCCTCTTTCCCTCTTTCTCCCAGAGGAACAGAATAAGGAAAACTACTCTTCAAGCTATCTAAAGGCCCCGGAGGCTACAAAATGTGCACATAGACAAGCCCCACTACTTAAGGCTTCCTTGACTAGTCAGCGTGTCTAGGATTGGCCCTGCACAGGTGGCAGCCAAGCTGTGGCGAGTACCTCCACTTAGTTTTTACAAGGGACTTTTCCACGTAGTTTTTGCAAGGGACTAGTAACCTTTTTCGACTTGTGCTGTAAAAGACGTTAAGGGCATTGGAAAAGTTTTATTTTATTTTATTTTATTTTGAGGGAGGGGGAAATTGCACCTTCCAGAATCACCCTAGTTTTAACGAAACGTGTTAGATTTATGCAATAAGATAAATCAGACAGCGGGAAGTTACTTATTTGGACTGTAGCGTCTAGCCTGACTGAATCTTTCGCTTTGCATTACAAATAGAGGCACACGCCTACGGAGATGCCCACGCTGGCTGCGCCATTCTAGGAGCTCGAGTCCAAACCAAGTAATTTTCTCTCTGTGATTATGTTATGGAGTGCTTTGGCCTCATTCAGTTGTCCCTGAGCATGCCTGCTTTCCCCTTGATATTACTGGCGGGAAACGAGACAGCGCACGTCTGGAAAGAAAACAGAGTTGTCATCCAGGAACCTTCCTGCTGGCATGAGCCAGTTCCGCTTAAAACGGTCCTAGGGTTTGGTTGTTGTTGCTGCTGCTGTTGTGCAAACAAGCGGGAAGAAAGAGGTGGACACGCGAGGAGGATAAGCGTGAATAGAACAGGCGAAGGACGGCCGCGATCCTCGCACCGTGATCGTGAGCACGCCTCCAAAGAACCGCGTGTCGGGGTGGGGTGAGGGGACCTCCGTCCCTTCCCTGCCCGCAGGTGAGGGGAGCCCGCCCGCCCGCCGTCCCCCCTGGGCGCCCTTACCCGGGTCGTCCTCGTTGCGGGGCACCTTCTTGAAGCAGTCGTTGAGGGAGAGGTTGTGGCGAATGGAGTTCTGCCAGCCGGCTTTGCTCTTCTTGTAGAAAGGGAAGTTGCCGGCCACGTACTGGTAGATCTGGCTCAAGGTGAGCTTCTTGTCCGGCGCGCTCTGGATGGCCATGGCGATGAGCGCCGAGTAGGAGTAAGGCGGGCGCACCAGCTTGAAGAAGTCCGGCTGCCCGGCAGCCAGCGAGAGCCAGCTCAGGTCCGGCGCCACCGACGGCGGCGGCGGCGGCGCG